GTTCTAGAAGCTGTTCTCTTTAATAGATGTGAATATTGTGTATACCTGCTGCTTTTCCGATTAGACTCAGACTAGAGCCAAAGTCTAAAAAACACATGATGCAGATCTAGTTTTATAGCTAGGAAAAGCTCAGTAAGCGCGCAGAGCGCCGCCCGGTCAGCATCATCACCCGATTTTATTGACCATTGCACGAGGATCCTTAGAATCCATTCATAACTTTTCCAGTAATCGTGTTAGTAAAAGCAGCCAGTAAGTTTCTACATGGAGGCCCGGTGTGTGTCTGCAGCCTCTGGTGTCTGTTCTGCTCTCTCCTCCATTCGCCCTGCCCTCCAAGCAGATGGAGGCTCCATCGCCTCATTTTCTTCTTTTTTTGTCGTCAGCAGAACTCCTAACTTTTCATCTGAGCTGGGGACGCTAACAGCAAAATCTCCATTTTCAATCATTAACAAACTCCTGTGATTCATTTCTATTAATTTAATAATAATAATTTTCATGTCAATCATTGTCCCAATCATTTCTGTTCTAGTGCTGGTGGGTTTCGATCTGATGCTGACACAGTTATTGCACTGAATGGTCAATAACCGTGCTTTAGATGTTAATAGCTACTGGGACTGATTGTAAATAGCAATCGTCCAATCACAGCGCTTCGACCATTTAAGGCGCTACATGTCACTGCTCTATTCCTGCCTGGCAGCACCTATATCCCTCCTCCTTTGTTGTGCACGGAATCTAAACCAGAACAGATAGAGGATTTTAATAGGCTTATATTAGAGACATTATGGTAACTATGTTTAAAGAGAAGGCTACAATAAAGGGAGGGACGATCTCTGCCTATGCCAGCCTAGGCAGAGATCTGGGGAGTGTTTATTATCTGTGAGGCTCATAGAGGATCACTGCTTTGAGGCCGATTTATACTTCGAAACTAAGTCGTCTGCGTGTGTGTCGCAGTGAACAAAAAGATGTCCCCGCCCCCTCCGTAGACACTCTGCTGCACCTCTCCCAAATTGTAGGTGACTGTAGACAGTTCTGCAGACAGGAGGCCTCTGATTGGTCAACTCTACATCCGCTTGCCGGCTTGTTTTGTTTTTATGACCGCAATTGCAGAAAACAACTTGTGAAGTTGGACCAGCTAGAAAAGCGAGGTGTGCGAGAACGCTGGAACCCTTTTTCACCCTCATGTCCCTCCGCTGTTGGACAAACTTGCCCCCTCTTCCTCACAGCTTCTGCCGTATCTAGACCCACAGCTAGTTCCTGATTGGCCCTCTTGTGTTGTTGTGTGGAATAACATGGCTCAAACCACGCTTCGATATGGGGCATAAATCAAAAATTCTGCATCAAGCTCAATGCGACACACTTCTGCGGGGAGGATAACCAGACTTTTAGTTTTTATGTCCTTCTGACTACCTTTATTCCCGCTGCCTGACTCCATCCCTGTTTCCTCTCCCATTCACAGATTTTTTTTTTTGGAATTTCATTTTCCTTCAAAGCGGATATGTTTTACTTTGTATCCACGTCTCTCTTCCTGTCAGACACATTCATTGCTGCTGAATTGCTGTATCGCTTCTACTAAAATAGACCTGGGCTCTATCTGAGTTGGTTCTACGCTGCCCCCTGCAGGACATTATCCCCATTGACTTTCAATCAGCTCTAAACACCACAACCTCTGAGGGACGATTTTCCGTTGGATTGGACTCAAAATGTGATTCAGTGTGTTCAGGGCTTGTTCTGTCTGTCAATGTAATATATTCCTGTATCCAAGTGATGATCTGGATCATTACTGAAATGGATTCTTCCTGGCATGAAAAATCGGATTCTGCTGACTGTTGGTTCAACCTTTGCTTCTTGGCTCTAGTGTCTCTGTTGCAGACAGGCAGGCTGATAGATGCATTCTGATTCAGGTTCAATAAAGATTAGGAATTCTTCTTCACTGGATCCCATAATTCAGGAGTTTCTTCCAGCACCACAAGCTTCACTGAATGGAATCAGAAACAGCATTTTATGCTCTTGTTCATGGCACCCAGGGCTTGAACTGAACACCAGAGGACCATACGCCACTTTAAACGTTTGGACCACAGCTCAGCTTCAGTCACGTCCCTTTTCTCTTTTAATTTGGCAAATTACAACTTTAATAAATCTACATGACCTTTTAATGTAACATAACGCTCTGTGCAATAAATGGACCTT